GGGGAAGCCAGGGCGGTTGGAGGATCCTTTGTGAGGGACATGTTGTATGGCTCAGCTCAACAGATGGAGTTGATAGCCAATTTACTAGCCGGGGTCATAAGAGAGTAATCTCAGACCTTCACCAGAATATGTGCGTTAGTTAGTGGCAACCATTTTCTCTACTGTGTTAGCTGGTTTCCTTTGTGTTCAATGTTTATCAACTTAAATGGGAGTCTAGCCCAGTGGCGTAGCTAGGGTTGGTGTCACCCGTTGCGGTAAACTCATGGTGTCACCACCCCCCCCCCCCAAAAAAAAACCAAAAAAAACTTCTATGATCGATTTTTTCTTGTTAAAATCAGTCCACAGTATAGCATCAACCTTGAACTTTTAATAAAGCACGCATTTGGATTGGTTACATTTGGGAAAAATATATGTGTGATCGGTTATTTTTTTATGAATCTCGATTTTTGCGAGCAATGTGTGCCCTGTAAATATGCAATTTTTCAATCGGGTGTCACCCAGTGCGGTCCGCACCCCCCCTCCCCCCACCTGCCTCGCTACGCCACTGGTCTAACCTTTCATTTACCTTAATTTTGGTTTTAATTCTTAGTACCGGTATTTAAAGCTTAAAGTTTGCAAACGAATTCTTTATAATAAGATTAAATTTTCTGTATTTCCAGTCATCCCATACGACTAATCTTCTGAGTGAATCATAACAGTGGATCCTAGATAAAGATCATCAGTTTCACCTGTCTGTTAAACAACTCTTCTCTCTAGCCATTGTAATGAATGGAGCTACACAGGTTTCCAAGTGAGTTTTTAGCAGACTTCACTTCAAATAATCACTTTTTTAAAGTAATTGACTTATCCAAGTTAATACATACATGCTGTTATATATTAAAACTGGCATAGAATAAGCAGCAGACACCAAAGAGCTTCATTCGTCATACCATGAATTTCATACAATGTTGGGTTTTAGTCTTTTCTTATTTACCATTACTTCTCGTAATTTTGTATCACTAACACATCAGATGGCCTAAATACTTACCAAAATTTGATTATTACTAACACATCAAATGGGCTATATCTTCTCAAAGTATATAACTATTTTATTTTTTAATACTTGTTTTATCAAGTTATTTAATAAATGCTTTTACATCATTAAATTGTATTTGTATGTCAATCATTTAATTATGGTACCTTTATTTTGGCTTAAATTCTTTTCACCTTTTAAAGCAACAAGTTTTCAACTGAATACTTAAATAAAAAATTGTTTCAGATAAAATCATTCTTAAAATTGTTTCATATATTTACGACCATATCATTTTAAAAATATTTTACGATAAGCTTAACTAAAAATATCTATTGAAATTACATTGATCAACTGCTTATCTTGATATTATTGGTGACTCTGAACTTTGTAATGATCATCTTGATGATATTATTGACTCTAAGAGACTTTGTACTGATATTTGTACTGATAATCTTGAAGCTATATTGACTCTTATAGAAGGTACTGATTATCTTGATATTGAGAAACTTGGTATTTATTATACTGATATTAACTGTTACTTAGCTCTGATTATCTTGATGGTATTATTTGTCTCTTAGAGACATGGTTCTAGTTATCTGGATATTATTAATGAATATTAGACATGGGTCTAATTATCGTAATATTGTTGGTTATTTTTCAGGAACTTGTTACGGATTATCTTAAAGATATTATCAACTCTTAGAGACATGATACTAATTTTCTTATGATTGATTCTTAGAGACTTGGTACTGATGATCTTGATGATACTATTGACCCTTGGAGACTCTTGGTACTAATTATCTTGATGAAATTATTTCTATATTTGATGCCTTCCTTTTGACTGACTATTCTTTCATGGGGAGGTAAAAAAGCATGGATGTGAATACAAAACCTCTCCTGCTTAGAGGTAGTGATCGCCTCGATGTACCAGGGTACTGCCTCTTTAGAATCCTGGATATGTCTGAATATGGCCTCTCCTACCTTACTGTCTGAATTGGGCGCCTTCGCGTATGTACTTCAGCTCTTGTTGTACTGGCCCTCCCCGTTTCAAACGGAGTCCCATCAGGTGCGACCGAAGTCCAGCGGTATAACTTGGGCCCTACTCGTGTAGGTTTGTCTTCTATCCTCTGCGGTTCCGGGAGCTGGTGACGGAGACCTTTCAACTGGACTCTGTCAAATGGAAGTTGGCGTACCCGGGCGCCGGCAACCAGGAGATGGTGCACAGGGGTTAGTGATTCGAAGCTGGTATACCGCAGCAAGCCGGCAAAGGAGACCCTCCAACTGGGAGCTATCAAGTGGGAACTATTGAACGTGTTGCTGGTGACCCGGCACTGCTTCCCGCGATGTGGCGAACATGAGGTAGCAACTGGAAAGAGGCGAACCAGAGCTGTGCTCTATTTCTGTGTATTTATGTTTATTATATATATGCATGCTAATTTTCATTTTTTATGTTGTTAGATTGATGTCCTGTTTATGGTACTTATGTTGATGAAGCCGCTGATGACTGGGACCAGGCTACCGGAAACCGACGAGGGGTTCACCTGTAAGTATTCAGTTTCTTGTGACTGGCAGCACTGATTGAGGTTTATGTATGTTAATCCATGCTTTTTGTTTTGTTTTTAGTGTGTTGTTGGTGCTTCAGTGACGGAGTGACGGGACCAGGCTACTGGAAACCGACGAGGGGTTCACCTGTGAGTATTCGGCAGTTTCTTGTGACTGTTAGAGACGTAGGAGCAGCACTGATTGAGGTTTATGTATGTTAATCCATGCTTTTTTTTGTTTTTAGTGTGTGACGGAGTGTGTGCTTCAGTGACGGAGTGACGGGTCCAGGCTACTGGAAACAGACGAGGGGTTCACCTGTGAGTATTCAGTAGTTTCTTGTGACTGGCAGCGACGTAGGAGCAGCAATAATTGAGGTTTATGTATGTTAATTCATGCTTTTTTTTATTTTTAGTGTGTGACGGAGTGTGTGCTTCAGTGACGGAGTAGCAGCGCACGGATGGAGGGCTGGCACAGACGGAGGAGCCTTTGGTCTCTTTTCGGTATTTTTGCTTGATTTTTTTTTTGTGTTGGGGCGCCTTTTTTTTTTTTTGTTCTGAAGAGCTGGGGGGGGGGGGGGGGGGGGGTGGGGTTAAGTTAATAGTTTGCGACTTTAGGGGTCATGTGGATGTAGGGGTTCATTGATTTGGGGATGGGATCATTAGGTAGTAGTAGAAGATAGGTTTGACGTTTGTTGAATTATAGTTGTGCGGGGATGGTAAAGGCGATATGGAATGTGAAGATGGAGCATTTTTGGAATTTACGAGAAAGTACTTTGGTAGTGTGTGATGATTGGGGGGGGGTTCATGGTGATGGTGATGTGGCATGGGAAGATGGAATATTCTTTGGGGTTTATACAAGGAAGTACTTTGGTAGTGTGTGATGATTGGGAGGTTTCATGGTGATGGTGATGTGGCATGGGAAGATGGACTATTCTTTGGGGTTTATACAAGGAAGTACTTTGGTAGTGTGTGATGACTGGGAGGTTTCATGGTGATGGTGATGTGACATGGGAAGATGGAATATTCTTTGGGGTTTATACAAGGAAGTACTTTGGTAGTGTGTGATGACTGGAGGGGTTTCATGGTGATGGTGTGCGACGGAGTGTGTGCTTCAGTGACAGAGTGACGGGTCCATGCTACCGGAAACAGACGAGGGGTTCACCTGTGAGTATTTAGCAGTTTCTTGTGACTGTTAGTGACGTAGGAGCAGCAATGATTGAGGTTTATGTATGTTAATCCATGCTTTTTTTTATTTTTAGTGTGTGACAGAGTGTGTGCTTCAGTGACGGAGTGATGGAGGGCTGGCAGACGGAGGAGCCTTTGGTCTCTTTTCGGTATTTTTGCTGTAGTTTTTTTCGTAGTTGTGTTGGGGCGCCCTGTTTTTTTTTGTCTTTATTTGTTTTGTCTTCTTTTTTTTTTGTCTTTTTTTTTGTCTACTTCTTTCTTTGCTATCACTTCTTCCGGACATACTGCCCTTGACATGGGGAGGTGAAAAGCAGTGATGGGGATTCAACGCCTCCCCTGCTTAGAGGTAGTGACTGCCAGAAGTACCAGGTTCTGACTCGTGGAGCATTCCTGGATACTTCTAACTTATGGCCTCTCCTACCTAAATGTGTCTGAATGAGCACATTCACGTATGTACTTCTACTAATGTTGTACTGGTCCTCCCTGTTTTTAACCAAGCCTCATTCAGGTGCGACCGAAGTCCAGCGGTATAACTGGACACTTTGCTCTGGTTGCAACCTGCTTAGGTGATGCACAGCTCTGGTTGTTGAATATACTAAATGTCATGGTAAATAACTTGTGGTACTCCATGATTTATCCTGGTTATGTGACCAGGGTCTTGTGGCAAACTGCTCAGTGACAAAGTGATGTGGTGGCAATGGCAATCTGATTGGATGACATAAAGCTCTCCTGTCACTCTGGATAAAATGATTGTATGAATCTTTATTGGAAACCTTATTGCTTATACTAACTGGTGTTTAACTCCCAATAGGTCTTTGTAATGATTTTCATGCTTTTTTGTGTATGAAATTGTGATTTATTTTTTTTTCATGCTAATCTGTGAATGTTTGTGATTCTTCATGGCAATAGTTTATGTATTTTTTTATAAGATAATTGGTATTCTGTGTTATTTCAATGCTTATTCCCAAACTAAGCTAATTGGTGAATGTACCTGTTATTTTAATGCTTTACATAAGTGTTTTTTTGTTGCAAATTGATGTATATATGGGTTATATCCATGCTAACTTGTATATGTAGGTTTTATTTCCCATAATTAGTAACTGTCTGTGTGTTATTCCCATAATAATTGATTTACATGGCGCGGTGTTGATTAGAAATATATTTTGTTTGTACTAAATTTTAATTTGGCTGTATACATAAGTTTAATAAGTTTACAGTAAAAAATTCTTTTTTTGCAATATTTGTTAAACTTCATGTCCCTCAGTATTGGTTCTTTACTAAAAACAAAAGTAGTTCATACTTAACATTTACAGCAATCCGGTATTAATCCTAGTAGAGGAGTAGACGAGCCATTCATTCAGCTGCTGCAAGGAATAGGGACAGATCCAGAAACTTTTAAAGATAACCATGCATTAGATGCAAACTTGAGTACAATATTATGAATTGAGTTAAACTTTTAAAGATAACCTTGCATTAGATGCAAACTTGAGTACAATATTATGAATTGAGTTAAACTTTTAAAGATAACCTTGCATTAGATGCAAACTTAGATGCAAACTTGAGTATAATATTATGAATTGAGTTAAACTTTTAAAGATAACCTTACTTCAAGTCTAATATTATGAGATTATTGAGTTTGTTATATGTAGTGTACCGGTATTTGATATCATCATAGTCTGCCATTTGAGTAGGATCTTTGTAACTTAATTTAGGAGAGTCTGGAGAAAGAGGGCAACCAAGTGAACATTAGTCAAAGAATGCAGCTGATGTTAACAAATAGAAAGTTATAGCCATAAAAGTTAGCCTGTCAGTAGACCGTCCTAATGTGCCCTTAAAAAACTTAATTAGTATTAACATAAATATGGCAGTTTTTGCATATAAAAGAAATTGAGGACTATGTAGGTGAAGGGAGAAATGGATCACCATATTTGGAGATACGGTCTGCTAGCTAAACACATGGTCTGCTAGCTTAAGTATTAATATCTTTAGCTATTTTCTATTGTTCTCTCTATTGTGTTGTAATGCACCAAGAGTGATTTAGTTGAAAGAAAAGATCGGTGGGCAGAAAGGTGTTGTCCATAATTACGTCTGCCACCCTCGGGAAAAGTTTCAGAAAGTTTGATTGTGACATGGGGGGAAAAGTGGGGATGGAGGTGTTATGTGACTCGGGGAGGATATCATATGTGATGTCAATCATTTAATAACATATTGTTAATCAGACTTATAATTATAAAAGCTGAAATTGACAGTGATTAACTTTTTTTTGGATGTAGGCTATTTTGACAGATGTCACTAAGTAGTGTCTAGTTTTTTCAATAGTGTGAACAATTTTATTGTTCAAGATGGCATCCTCCATGCTTCTGACAAATTTTTGGTATAGTGTGAGTTACATACGATTTATTAAATATGTAACAAAATGTAGAAAAGCTGCTTTTGAGCATAGTTTAACAAGCCTATCACTTAATTTTTCTGGGCCCAAGGCCTTGGCTGTGTCAACTTTTTAAAATAATGACATCACTTCCTGTTTGGTGAATAAGAAAGTATCATCCTGTGTCCTGTACTACTGCCATCTTTAAATGAGTTCATCATTAAAAGGGCAGTTTAGCTAGATGCCCTATTCAGCAGACAAAAGAAACAAAAACAAATTGGAAATAAAAAAATGTATGTGTTAGATGTTGAATTGGGATCTTCTAACACAGCGGTTCTCAACCTGTGGGTCGCGACCCCTTTGGGGGTTGCGCGACCCTTTTCCAGGGGTCGCCTAAGACCATCTGAAAATACATATCCTTACTTTTATGAAGTAGCAATGAAAATAGTGTTGCTGGGGGTCGCCGCGACACGAAAAACTGTATTAAAGGGTCGTGGCATTAGGAAGGTTGAGAACCACTGTTCTAACATAAGTTCTTGAGTAGCACATTTTTACGCACAAATGTGTAACTCCATTTGGGATGGTATCTGTGAACATAGCTTAAACTACCGTCACTTTAATTAGAAACCCCAACACAACTTTATTTCATTGGTTACAAAAGTTTATTAAAAGTGATTGGATGTTACTGTATAAAAAAAAAGCAGGAATATCTTAATATAAAAAGTAGAAAAAATGGTTATAATATACAAAGATGAGTATTTTTGTACAGAAATCATACAGAAAGCTTTGCTTTAATCACATTATCAATACTGTTGTTACAAGTATAAAGCACGCATTCACAGTGAAGATTTAGTCAACACAAACTCAAAATATGACTTTCACTGCTTCAAATCATTTTGAGCTAACCTTTAAGTAGGCCTACATTTTATGACTTCAGCTCAATTTTAAAATGACCAGATTTTTAATCTCTTGTTTTTTTGTGTGTAGGCTATCTTATAAAAATATTATTACGTAACCGTGTTAGCATTTTAACTTTAAAAAAATTAGAAAAAATATAATCCAGAAATAAAGTACTCTGAAAAGAAATTTATATTTGTTTTAATCAATCAAAGATTTTAAATTTCATTATCTAAGTTTTATTTCTCATTAGATTTGTTAGCTTCTAATTCAAATTTTAAACATAAGTATTTTTTTATTCAAAGAGATTACCAAACTTTACTCTTTTAACTAAATCAAATTGACTAAAATATCAGGCTAAAAGCTTCCTTTACAAAATACTTAAATAAATGATTTAAAATAATTAATTTGTGGATATTTAAGGCCTAATATTAAAGTTATGGTAAATCTATGTTTTGTTAACATCCATCGTTTAGCAGCATTCCTCTTGCTCATTATTCAAAACACTCCAAAGTACATGAAATATTTGTTTAATTACATAGCAGAACACATTCTTATCACACATTTTGTTTTAAAAATCAACACGTTGAGACTACAGCAATGCCAGAAATAGTTTTGCACCATATCTGATATATCATGAAGTAGCACTGACTCAGTTATTCTTGGGTATTCATATAAACATAATAGCAATGGTCATTCTTCAACTACTAAATCTTTTTTTTTATCCATTATTAATTATAATAATTTTTAAGTTAATTCATGTTTATATTTAGAATGTACATTAAATTGTATAAAACAGAAAAAGAAATTCAAATTGCCTGAAAGTAGCTGGGTAATTGCATTACAATTGAAAAAAAATAAAATAATAAGGTTGACAACAAATAGTAAAAAAAATGTGTACAGTAGAATTAACAAGCCAAAATGTGTTCACCGGAACACAATTTCAAAATTGAAATAGATATAGATGAACAGGTATTCTTTCACATGGTCACAGCCAGTTATTACCACAAAAATAACCATTCGATTTTTATTCTAAAACAAAATTTGCGCATTCAATGCAAAAAAAATTTCATGGCATGTGCACATATAGAATTTAAATTTAATGCGTTAAACAAAACAGTTAATTTACTTGAAATACAATAGAACTGTAAATTACTTAAGACTCTTCAGCTCACTGTACAAAGACCATCAAGCTGTTGGTGTTGTGTTGCTTGTTTGTAAGCCAACAAAGTAATGTGGAAACAGAGTTATGTTTCACATGGCTGTGGTCAGTCCTCCACATGCTGAGCTTCTACTTCTTGTAATGGTCGTACCTGAGACATTTCACATTTTTAGGAAAGTCACATGTCAGTGTTTGCGAGTTGTAGAGCAGGGACTCCGGGCAGGTCAACACCAGGGGGACATGGTGGGCACAGAACAGAAACTGCTTGCAGTTGCGAGGATGAGCAAAGAGTCCACTGGATGCTGGGCATGGTGTTGGGTCTAGAGAAGACACATGATAATCATTAATGTATCTTTGAGTAGGTGAAAAAAAAATATTTTCATACCAAGTTCAGGTCAAAATAGGATTGAGGATGAGTAGTAATTATATTACTATAATGAGTTCCTTAAATTTTTTACTTTTTATTTGAAGTTTAATAGCTTTTTTTCCTCATTGGACCTCAAATTATAGAAAATAGGCAATGTTATTTTCTGCTGTTTTCATTGTAATAATTAATATAATTTTAATTGGTACCTAAACTATTTTGCCTGTTGACTGTTTTTTTAATCTTTTTATTTAGATGTGTCATAGCAGTTTCTGTTATAAACAATACAGATGGAGCAATCTAGACAAAATCTTAAAGTTTAAATATATTTTAAAATTTTGTTAGTTTGGAGATAAGTGTAGACAACTTCAATAGCTGATAATGTTTCCATACCTGCATCAATGCTGACTATGTCCACTTCGACTTCATTGGGTACTGGCCGTTGTACAGGCAATGGGGTTGGGACCGGGGCCACCTCAGGTAAACTATTGAGAGCTTCAAGTCTGATACCATCCTGTGTACAGTCAGATACAGTCTCCCAGAAGTCACACAAATTTCCTTCAATTCTGTTAAAAAAACAATATGTTTGTCATTTAATTTAAAAAAAAACAACAACCATTAAGCATTGTTATTTAAACAAAACAAAAAAAGTTTATTGATCATTAACCAAAAAAAAAAAAAAAGTTTATTGATCATTAACAAACAAAAAAACTCAATTTTTCTAGTTGCTCGAATCGTGATGTAAAAAAAAAAGCTTCAGCTGTAGAAATAAAAAAACAAAATGTTTGTCATTTAATTTAAAAAAAAACAAAAACCATTAAGCATTGTTATTTAAAAAAAACAAAAAAAGTTTATTGATCATAAACCAAAAAAAAAAAAAAAAGTTTATTGATCATTAACAAACAAAAAAACTCAATTTTTCTAGTTGCTCGAATCGTGATGTAAAAAAAAAAGCTTCAGCTGTAGAAAAATTTGCTATAATCAATGTTACTCGGATTAAATCCCAAACATTTACCTAAAAAATGTTCCTGTTGGACAGGTGAAGGTGAACCTGGTACCTAGGACACATCTATGGAATATATCGCAGAACAAATTGTCCCTGTAAAAGCCATCCAACACAGATGGACACTGAAAGTCTTGGATCCCAGTTTGGTCTGAAGCCTCTTCATCTTCTGTCAGGGTATAATTGAATGGAAAATGGTCAAATTTTGTTTTTGATTGATGAAGTTATTTTTGAGAAACTATTTCTTTGGGAAATTTCAACCTTCTTACTATTCCTATTACTCTATTTTAATTATTTTAATTTTAATTGTAACTTACAGAAATTTTGTGTGAAGTGAAGTCAATAAAAGTAATAAAATGTTTTAATTTTGAATGCATGGGACTAAAAAAAAATACAAGAATTACGCGAATATAGATAACTTATTAATTTATTTTAAAAAGTGGAAAGAACAATATTAATCTTGCTTAAAGCAATAACAAACAAAAAGAAGGGAAAAAATTAGAATGCCTTGCATAGTGGACAAATTTGAAATGTGTTTCCTCTGTGATGGTATTTAACATACCCATGAAATGTGTGACAGTTTAAAAGAAGGCTTTTGCCAAGGGAGTGGAGCCAAAGTGGCAGCCACCCCATGGTTTAACATCCTGCGGTGGTGGGGGTTGTGCCAAAATTGTCAATATATAAATATGTATATATTATATAATTTATTTATGAAACGAGGTGCACCCTTTTCAGGCTTTGCCCCGGATGCAGTTTTCCCTTTGCAGACTCTGCTTGCAAGTATTGAAACTATATTTCTGTGTGTTTCAGTATTTCACGTGTCACATGTCACGAGTTAAATTCAGGAAATATGTATCTAGTGCATGTTATCCTCACTGCCTTACCATCTTCAGACAAGGAGGTTTGGTATGGGACAGATGGTTCATACTTCCATGGACTCCCTTGGGCAACAGCATTTTTTAGTGTCTTAATCTCGCTACTCGGTAAGGTAAGGCTTGGGGTAGTCTTCAGAAAGGATTCACTCTCTTTGTTACACTCTGGAACTTGGTGGCGCCATGTGCATAAGCCTTTTTCTGAACTGAATGCTGTTCCAGGCATGCATTCATGTCTGTTAAAAGATTGGAAGAAAAAAAAATCTTTGTTATTGTTTTACTTTTATGTTATTTTTTGTTTAGATAAGCTATCAATAAAAAATATGGAATTCTCTCAGTCTAAAGATATATTAAAACTAATATTATTAACTTTTAATTACACTATAGGCCTACATATTTTTCTCACTATATTAGCTTAAAAACAAAAATCTTTTATCAATGGTTACATTCTACTAACTAAATTTTTGGCTTAATTATACTATAAAAGAGTCAGAGATAAAAATCTCCACCTGTAAGCTGTTTTATTGAAACAATGGATGAATCTAGAACAGTTGCCAGTGTCTGGGTACAAGCCATGATTCTTAGGGCAGGTGAATGGGACTTTGGGAATAACTGAGGAAATTAACAGTAAGAAACAATGAATATAAACACGCAATGAGTGGCCATACTTAAAAAGATTAGTAAAGTTAAAGTGATGTGTATTCGTATATATGTGCTTCAAAAAAAGAATAAAAAATCAAATGCCTTCGAGCATTTATGGAAAAAAAACCCTTAAGATTGGAACTATGCGCTTTTTTTTTTTGTAACATAAATGTTTCCATAACTTGTACTTAAGTTTAATAGACCATTAAAGTATTGAGCTGATATATACCTGAGCTTTTAATGTTGGATTCCTTGGCTATAGATGACTCCTTGCAGCGAGGCACTTGTCGAGCGTCCATGCACAAGCTGGTGCCATCGTCATAGCCGGTGCCAAAAGAACATTTCATGCGCTTGGCAACGTTGTCGATGCATGTGTAATAGGTGCTGCAGTCATACAGGTCCGGGAATACCCCATTTTCTTCCGGGCACACAAAGTCAACTGAGTCAAAAAAAAAAAAAAAAAAAAAAAAAAAAAAAGAACTATTTAAAAGCCAAAAAAAAAAAAAAAAAAATAAAAAAAAGAAAGAAAGAACTATTTATAGGCCCAATCATTTTAAAAAAAATTTTGCAATGCTTTGATAGCACGCATCATAAATCCCAAAATTAAATTTTAAATCCATATCTTTTGGTTGCAATGATATGAAGTTTATTAGTAATGCTAATTGGAGAATATAGCTGACTCATTTCGATTATTACCAGAATTTATGCTTATGAAATTAAAAAAAAAATAATTGAAAAAATAACAGAATATATTTGAGCCCCACATCTCTCTGCTGCTAAAAATCATCCGTTGTTAATTAAGAAGGCTCTAGATACACCGTATCATAAACTATAATGTCTTTGATAAAAATAGAATTATAGCCGCTGATTGCCAGGTGTGCTGTGGCATTGTGAAAAAAAATAAGTGAGGGGGGGGGTGAGTTAGAAGGGACGCAACCAGCAGATCTGTACCACCTAAAATAATTAGCAACCCTTTTGCTCCTGATAACACAATTATCTCATTTCCTGATGCCAACGATTTCATTGTAAAAAGCCACCCATTTAAAAATAAAATACCTTCAAGGCTGCTCCACTTGTCACGGGCCTCTGACATCTTTGTTTCCGGTTTAATTCCTCGTTCTTCCGACTCAACGATCGCGCTGCCACTTTCGTCGTTGTTGATGCACCCTTCAACCAGATAACTCCAGACACACATGTTGAGTTTGACATCAAAGCCAGTTCCGTGGTCACACGTCATACGGAGGGGCTCTCCCCCAGCACAGAGATAGTAAACATTGCAATCTTTTTCGTCTCGGAAATAGCCATCTTTCAAGCATTCGAATGTGTCTTTGGGACCTGAAAAAATAACTTGAATGAATACACTGACCAAAAAAACCACAAAAAAAACACCAAACAAACCAGACCACACAATACTCTGTAAACATGATTTTCACGTCTCATTAGAGAAAAGAACATAAAAATAAAATGGTAATGCATAAAGACTGAAAAGGGAAAAGAGGGCAACCATGTTCAGAAAGCTTCAGAAATGTGTATGTTGTTTATATGAATATAGAAAGATTGCGTCTTTGAAGGCTATGCACCAGGCGCATCTTTTGCTTTACGATTGACGCTTGTTTAGCTTTGAGACATCTGGTGGAACCGACGCTATTTAACCAGATAGTACATTCAATTCAAATAAAATATATTTTATCTAGAGATGTTCGAAGGTTTCATTGCATGTTATTCATTTATTAGGATATATTTAAACCCTTTATTTAGTGTATAAGGTCTTTAAAAAAAACATGTTTTAAGTCCATCTGACTGAACCGGAATTTTGATGTTGTTTCTTAGTTCATAAATTTAAGTTCAAACCCTCAAACCAAATGTATTTATTTGTTAGAATTACCATTGCACCCATGCAGTTCATTGCTACCATCCATCACAGAAACACTGCCCTGTAGTTGTGACAATGATATTAACAGTTTTTTCCCCATGACGTATTACTGCTTTCAATCCGACAAGAAAACTAAGTAAAAGTTTGTTATGATGAGAGCTATAGCTTAACTCCATTTTAACCCCCCCCCTCCCCCCACACGAAGCCAAATGTTTAATGTTTTAAAGGGGTTAATATTCCATTTAGTCTACAAAGGAACATCTAGGACATGCCTGTTGTCCCTAACAGTACCCGGAAGTGACCTTAACCCTGTATTCAGGGTCATGCATTCAAGATGTTTCCCTCTGGTGGTCTTACACATTTGAAAGAGAGCAATACAATGTCGGAAAAAATTAAGACGGCTCAAGGAAACAATTCATTAAAAATTTGAAGTTCACTTTAGAGACAGCAATTTGTGCCCCCCCCCCCAACCTCCATTTTATTTTTCTTGTATTTGCACTAAGGCGCCCCACTTAGGTTATGCGGCACACCGTACCCCTTATAACAGACACACACGCAGACACACACACAAGTTAAGCTATCACCAACCTGTAACGACTTTGTCCGCCTCATCTCTGATCTCCCCTTCACAGCCTGGCACGAACCTGCTCCACGTACATCTGCCCCTGGCCTCGTCAAACACAGTCCCAGACATACACTTACGACGTATCGGCCAGCCTTTGGTGCACTCGAAGTAGTGGGCGCAGCTGAAGGTGTCCCTGTACAGACCGTTGGGGTCCTCACACACGGAGTTGGCTGCGAGAAGCAAACGTAAACACTTTTGTTTAAAGAGGTTGTTAAAACTTATTGAAGTATTTTTTTGTAGACCCCCTTCCATCGGCGGATTATTGAATGTTGGACAAGTTTGGAGGATTCAACGTTAAGCACCCAGGAAGTAAGACACTGTACACAATGGAGGCGAAGCCAGGTTGAGGTGGAGAAAGAGCTTCTTAGACGGTTCCCCCAATGTTTAGCTAAGCTGGGTGAACTTCGGGAGAGAAGGCCCTCTTAACAAACATAAAAAAGTTGCTTTCCAGTGTCATGTACATTAAATGGCTTTCTATACAACGTGGTGTTGGGGGCAGGGTCGTGCAGAGGATTTATGGGCCCCGAGGAAATCCAAAAGTGTGCCACCCCCCCCCCCCGCCCCAATTTCAAAATATTTGTATCAAACGTATCAATTTCCGCTCTTAATGGCCACCAAGCGGGGGTGGGGGGGGGGGGGGGGGGGGTGATTTATTTGGTTGCATTGGCCCCTGAACTGCCCTGTTTGGTTGGGGGGGGGGGGGGGGGGATCCATAATTTAAAAAAATTGGTATCAAACGTATCAATTTCCCCCCTTAATGGCCCCCAAGGGGGGGGGGGGGCGGGGGGGGGGCGAGTGATTTACTTGGTTGCATTGGCCCCTGAACTGCCCTGTTTGGTTGGGGGGGGGGAGGGTGGCATCCATACATTACTTCATTGCTACATTACTTCAAGCTATTTTGTCCGAATTCAGACCACCCCCATCTCCTCCATCGGCACAAAAATGAGACGCCCTCGTACAATATTGTCACAAAATTCGTTATATATTAGGTGGTGTGACGTCCTTTTTGGATTGGCGCCCCTTTGTCCGTAACCTATTTAGTCTAATGTCAAAGTTACTTCTTGTTACCCCTCTCCTCCCCCGATTTACTGGTTTGTTTGAGAAAACATGAATATATTGAACTACACATTTCAAAAGTTTGTGATGAAGAAAACGTTCCTGTTTTTATCATCGCAACCCATGTCTCATGGTTTGTCTGGTTGTGAGCTGTAGCATACGTCACAGGGGAGGGGGGAAGGAGAGGCTCACCGAATTCCTGATCCATCTCGGTGCTGTCTTTGTAAATGTTGACGCACGGAGGAGCCAAGCTGGCAGACACACATGACAAAGCCTCCGCCAAAAACACCTGCCCTGGTAAGCAATCTCTGAAGAAAGGTTTTTAGAACTGTCAATAATGATATAGATTTGTGTACAATATTTAAAATAACAATTTATGGTGGAACAGTTAGACCGCTCATGATTTCAACTAAATCTAAACCAGCAATGTATGTCTTCTGTAAAGGGAGAAACTCGCGAGTTAATAATCTTTGATGAAAATAACAACTCTTTATTAGAAACCTTTATTTACTCGAAACAAATATTAATATTAATATGTGTGACAGCTTGGATGACAACACAAGACAATAAATCGAAATTTTCAACGGGATACCACCCTTTGCTTACATAAAAATATCGAACACCACTCAGGATGGAACAAATATACATCATAATAGCATTCTCATTTCTTTGTTTCTGGACAAGTTGACGTGTTCAATCTCAATGTCTCAATGCGCCAATGGCGATTCAACTTTTCTGCTTCCTAATGTGCGAACGATGACATTAAAAATATCAGTTCTCATTGTTCGGTCAATTAATTAAAAAACAAAAATGTTCGAAGGCTGTGCTGAAGCTCACAAAGTGACAAGCTCACAAGCTGGCAAGCTCACAAGCTGACAAGCTCACAAACTGACAAGCTCACAAAGTGACAAGCTCACAAAGTGACAAGCTCACAAGCTGACAAGCTCACAAAGTGACAAGCTCACAAGCTGACAAGCTCACAAGCTGACAAGCTCACAAGCTGACAAGCTCACAAGCTGGCAAGCTCCCAAACTGACAAGCTCACAAAGTGACAAGCTCACAAGCTGACAAGCTCAC